TATACCAATAATTTCGTTTTCCCTCGATAATATACATTTTTTCCGGGATAAAAAGTACCCTATTATTTAATCCAGACTTCTAACTTTACGTCTGCAAAATTTCAAAGCAATCGGTTTAGTAGTTACGGCGTGAAAGTGGAACAAACAAACAAACAAACAAACTCACTTTCCCATTTATAATATTATATATAGTAAGGAGTAAGGAAGTAAGGATAAGGATAGTAAGGATACACAAAGCGCCATCTATACCAATAATTTCATTTTCCCTCGATAATATACATTTTTTCCGGGATAAAAAATACCCTATTATTTAATCCAGGCTTCTAACTTTACGTCTGCAAAATTTCAAAGTAATCGGTTTAGTAGTTACGGCGTGAAAGTGGAACAAACAAACAAACTCACTTTCCCATTTATAATATTAGTAAGGATAAGGATAGTAAGGATTGAAGGCGTCTGATACTTTGTATAGAAATATAGAATAATAAAACTATTACAAAAAGATTATGCGAGGTAGTCCTCGCCTAACCTAACTAACTATAACCTTTTTGCATCTTACATTACCACCTACCACATATACATTTCTGCACTACCTAAAAGGATGACTGGCAGAGAATGCTGTTAGCATTAAGTCCTCCTTAAACCGGTACTCGACGAATTAATCCTTATATGCAATTGTATAATTCTTATATAAAGAAACACTACTATTTAATTCCACAGAGTCTTGGCTACACATTCTCTGTCTGGAAAGAAGTCGCCAGCCTTCCTTCACAAGCCAGCCAAAAGATCCCTGGATCCACAAGCAGTTTCTGATGTCATTTACGAGATTACGGACAAATTTGGCGTATCAGAAAGTTTAGTTCGGTGAGTTGATGACTAGATCTAGTTTTCTTTCTCCAATAGTATTAGAAATATTTAAATTTGTTTCGTGAGACAAACTAAATTATTTATTATGTTTTTCGGCGTAATCATGTAATTATTTCACGAGGAACTTGTAGTAAGTAGCGGAGCGACAACGCCGCGTCATCGTATAGCTAATCGTTGTGGTTTTACCCGCTTTTCTTAGCTCTTGTTGTTTGCACCATGATAGTAAATGAAATATCCTTCTTGATAAATGGACTATCATGCATATACCATAGACATACCAAATTAATAGTTTTATATATAGTTTTCGGCTTCTTACGTAATTGTTTGACGAGTAGCAGCGCGACCAAGCGCGACAGTCGCTGCGTCGCGGGTCGCGGAATGCTGGTAATAAATATGAGCCTCTAGCATGGCTTGAATCTAGTCGAGTTCCTCGTCAAATAGTTACGTGAGTAGGCCAATAAATATAATAATTGCTTTAACTATGGTTAAATACTTTAATAGACAAATTAACCCTTAATTTTATTTGCAGGGCCACCATTACTACAAAGTGCGCCGATGAAGCTAAGATGCTCAGAATGCGTCACGGTAAATGTGAAGATCACGAAAACATCCCGCCGCCACCAAATGCAGACGGAAAGGCCTAGATGTTGTTAGTTGACCAGCTATACGACTACAACGCGTAAGGTATGGGATTTCCGATACCTACGTTAACTTATTATACGCTAATATAATATACGTTACACATTATCCATAAAAAGATACAAAAGTAAAAAGTCCCACCACTCACCTGAATGATTCAAAAACATTTATAAAAAAACAAGTTATAAACCGATTTGGTAAGAAATTAGAAACTAATAAACAAAAATTTTGAGTTTAGTCAAACACTTTGATAAAATTGAGTGTTTACGGGTGATTCAGTGAGCAATGCAATAGATTCCGTAGGTCTGTAACGTGTAAAGTACTATATATTATACCTGTTTTTGTTATCTAATTGAATTGATTATTTTCAAATGTGTTTGTCTTGTTTTAATTGTTATTGTTATTAAGTCAATTTTAACTCTCTGTGTCCTTTTGCGGTACGGTACGAATAGAAATACGAATAGGAACCTAAAATTTAAAAATATGTCTATTCGACTAAGTGCCTCTTTAGTCAACGGTCGCAAGTCAGACTGGATTTTATTTTCTCGACTTATATTGATCCCAAATTCGTTCCTATTATTTTAGTCCTAGGGCTAGGCAATGCGAGGATATTAGCCTTCCCCAATTTTTAAGCATTGGGTTTTAGTAAAATGTTTATTTATCGTGTATAATTATATTTTTGTCATGTTCATTGTTGTAATATAAACTTTGTTATATTTAACTAAACTTAAGTCATCTGACCATTGTGCACCATTTTTATTATACCTAGTTAAGAATTGAATACCTAATTATAGACTTGTTTGTGTAATGTGTATGTCTTATGTCTTTTATATTGATTTCTCTGATGACTTTTATATTAAGATTGAATAAAACATTATAAATAAGTGCACTTGAATAAACTAATAAAATTTTTGTAGTTTTTTTTATTTCATCAAAAAGTACTAAAGTACCTCACATATTACTATTATACACTCCCTTTTTGTCAAGTGGCGTTATTAAATGGCACCAAGCCTTTACCTGCTATCGTTGCTTTAAAAATATGTAACACAATTGGGCAGTTGACGGGGTGTGAGTTAGATATCTAATGAAAATATACTAGACACGTGTCGCGGAGAACCTAACGGGTTACCGGGGCTCCGGCTCGACGTGCAGGAGAAGGAACGGGGTGGTTTTTAGTCAGTAAGTGTGTGAAACTCCCTCCCGCCTCACCCAGGTGGGAGTAGTCATTCGATGATTTTACCCTCTTAAAAACAGACACGAATTTTTTTATTTTGTCATACAAGAAAATAATAATTAGATAAAACATATATATGTATTTAGATTTAGGAGTAGGAAGTCGCTACACTCGCTACGTCGTCACACGTTCCTGTAAAATTAAAGGTCGCAACTCATCACGTCAAATGATAGTTCAAATCACATAACATAACATCACGCCTTTTATCCCCGAAGGGGTAGGCAGAGGTGCACATTATGCCACTGTACAATGTAACACCCACTTTTCACTATTTATGTTATGAGACCCATGTAATAGGGGTGAACCTATTGCCATACACCGGGCACATTTCCAGACTCCGTGCTACTACTGAGATTTATTTTTATACCCAGTAATACCTTGCCCGACCCGGGCATCGAACCCGAGACCCTTTGTCCGGCAGTCGCACTTGCGATCACTTGGCCAACGAGGCAGTTGAGTTTTTAGCGCTGCATATTTCCTTTTGAAATGAGCTCCGTCTTGGTTCATTTTTAAAATGTCAAAAAAATTTCTGTTTTTTTTTCATTCGTCTTAGTAACAAGAGGAGAACAACTCTTTTTTCGTGATCCATTTCCAAATAAACACGTTCGAGCACACTATGAGAATTCTACCTCGCGGCACGCCGTCCGCGGCACCGTGCTTCGGCACGACGTCGTGCCGTGTTACGGCGGCAGCGCAGCACGATGGGTGCGCGCACGGCCAGCATCACTCCACCGCACGGAGTACCCGGTCAACAAAAAGATCTGAACCCGACCGATCATATTCAAATCACGTCAACTGACCATCGCTTTTCGAACCAACTACGGTACGGTATTTAAGTTTCATTTTAAAATAAATACCACTTACTTGTTTCTAGTTTTCGGAGGTATAATGACTTTTACTTGTCTATAAATACGGAGGTTAGTATTCTTACACTGAGTAGGTAACTCCTAAAATTAGTGTTACGAAAGAGGCTCAGTGTCAATTATAGAATGTAATTCAAGAATAAAGAGGTCTTCAAGTCTACGAGATCTACGAGGCTACGAGGTCTACGGGACTACGAAGTCTACGAAACGATGAAGCCTACGCGACTACGAGTCTACGAATATGTTCTCCACCCGCATTGTCCGGGTCAAAATCCAGTGGTTTCATGTATATTTTTTTAATTTTCCATATATTCATAAACTTAATGCCATAAGCATTGTGAAAGTATTTGAATATTTTGGTAATGTGCATAAGAAAACTTCTTTATCTAAGTTGGTATTCTACCTACATTCACCTACCTATTCTAGACCGATAAAGTCGGAGGCGGCATCTAGTATTAAAATAATAATAATATCAGAAACCATATAGCACATCACCGGAGCTTGCAAGTCTCTCGCGCAGACTGACTACAAGCACAGGCACGATAAAATATCCGCTATAATACACCAACACCTAGCTTATAAATATAGTCTGATAGATAAATGGTCGCATACTATAAATATAAGCCCGAAACAATTTTAGAAAATAAACATTGTAAAATATATTGGGATCGAACAATTGTTACAGATAAAACGATACATTTCAATAGACCGGATATTACAGTACATGACAAAGTTACTGTTAGATACGGGGACACAAGTGAAACCACTGCTTGCTAGTAACGCACTGACGTTTATTGTTGGCACTTATTGGTGCGTCGGCACACGCACACCTACCTACATACCTAACAGTTACCAAAACAGTATATTTGATAGATATTGCCATCCCAAACTCACATAACATACAATCCACTATTTCTGAAAAGTTAAGTAAGTACCAAGATCTCGCCATAGAAATCAAAACGCAGTGAAGAGCACAAACAGTTCACATTGTCCCCATCGTCCTCTCAACCACCGGTATTGTACCTAAGTCCCTCACACAAAGCCTTAACACTCTCCACACACTCCAAAAAGCAACCATCCTCAACACTTGCCGCATCACAAGAAAATTCTTAACATCATCTACTCTATCATCCACCTATTCTATATAAACTTCCCCTTATACACTTGGCTCCGGCCCGTGTATAAGGTTCTTAAACTCTCTTACGAGAAAGAAGTTAAAATATATTTGAAATAATAATAATAATAATGGGGATGATGACAGGGTATGAAAATTAAAAATATAATTAGTCCGTAACTTAGGTAATAAAAAAATATTAGACACGTATTTTTTTATTTTGTTGTATAATAAAACAATACTTAGATAAAACGAATCAAAGTTTAGGAGTGGGGGCTAAAACGTCATTTCTTAGTATAAAATGTACTGAGAAGTGACGTCACGCGACATTTCAAATCAATATATCTTCGAAACTATTCGTTTCCGTAAGAAAATAAAAAATACGTGTCTAATGTTTTTAAATAATCTACCAGACGGACATTAAAATAAAAATTAGTCGTCTACCCCGTTGGCTGTGTCTTGGCTACGATTCAGTAATCTCTTTGGGGAAACTGAAGGATTTGTCTGTGTAATAATGGAATGCGAAGTTATCCTTACGAATAACTATCGCAAATATATAATTAAGGATGGGACGGTTGACATATGTCAGCCATGTCATAGTCCTGGTGAATCCATTAGACATTATTTGACATTATTTCTGGTTGTGGTCGTCTCGCTAAGAGTGAATATTTGCATAGGCATAATCAAGTAGCCAAGATTATTCATAAACAACTTGCTTTGCACTATCGACTTGTTGAGTCTGAGGTACCGTACTACAAGTATGTGCCCGACCCGTACTAGGTCATTAAAGTTCGGAAAATAACCATATCACATTGTACTGGGACCGGTCTATCATTACTGACAGGACTATTGTAGCCAATAAACCTGACATAGTGGTGATAGACGGACAAGTACGCCGCACGATGATAATCGATGTCACCATTCCCTATGACGAGAACCACGAGAAAACTGAGAAAGATAAATCTAGACTTAGCTCACGAGGTTGTCGACATGTGGAACGTGGACTCGGCTAACATTGTGCCGATAGTCGTGTCGGCCAATGAGTTAATCCCTAAAAGCCTCGACATCCATCTCAGGAGGCTGGCGTTAGGTGGATGGATCAAGGGCCTGATACAGAAGGCAGTTCTCCTAGAAACGGCACGTATCGTGAGGAGGTTTCTGTCTCTGGAGCCCTAACCACCGGTAGCTTGGACCATGCTCCCGCTACTAATTTTTATATTATTAACACTAGAAAGACGGGAGCAGTCATTTGACCGCAATTTGATTTTAAATGTTGAATAACTTAAAAACAATTTGAGTTATTTTACTGAGACTTTGTGACTTTTTTTTATTTTACTAGTTAAATGTAATAATGTATGAAAATAAATCACAACTCTTTTGTTTATTATTTAAACTGTCAAACACCAAGCGGTCACCGATGACCGCAACCTATTGTTCTATATTTGTGTCTATAATGACGGTACTCGACGAGTTAAAATCTTGATCTACCTACAAAGACGGCGGCAGTCATTTGACTGCTAACAACCGATAAGTGTTTATAAGTGTAATATGAGAGTGTAGAATACAAATTATATACACTAATTCATTGTTCATAGTCTGTTTATCAAATGAAACCGTATCATTTCAAGTGCTTGTGAACTTTTATGAAATTATTGTAAGTATTTCGTGGTCGCAACGTCTTGGAGTCTTGAAAATGAAAAATTGTTTGTTAGTTCTAAAATATTTGTGAAGATGAGTCTGATTGTGACTCTGAAAGTAAAAAACGTGATAGCAACGACAATTATGCGGTACTACTTGTCAGTTCGAGTTCCTCTACGGAAGGAATTGACCTGAAAGACCATCTGGTCTTTCAGGTCAATTCCTTCCTCACCTCAAACATATTTATCAGTCGTTGACAGGTCGTAAATCTGGTAGGTGTAGTCGTTGCTATGGTAGTGATAAAGGCTCTGAAAGGAGTTTGGGAGGTACCTATGTCTGATGGGGCGGGAGGAAACGCCCGGGTGTCATCACTGCCCTGAGGACACGGTGGAACATACAATAGTTTAGGTATAAAGTGTACATATTATAGAAACGTGAACCAACCTCGGTTAGCTTTGGAGACTTTTTTTTTAGGGGGGAAAATCATCGAATGTCTGCTCCCGCCTGGGTGAGGCGGAAGGGAGTGTCAGACTCTTACTGACTAAAAACCACCCCGTTTCTACTCCTGCACTTCGAGCCGGAGCCCCGGTAACCCGTTAGGTTCTCCGCGATTCCGTATCGGCATCAGCCCTGTTGGGCCCCATCCGTGGTGGTCTGATGGCTCTTTGAGACGCACGCGGAAAGCGACTCGCCGTACGGTCGGGTAATAACACCGCCTACCATTTATTTTTTTAATATTTTCAATGTACAGAATGTACACTTCTACAGTTTTATTATATGTACTTATAAATCAACCCATTTGAGAAAAAAAGAGGTGTCGGCTTTTAAAAGATAAGATAAAGCTATATACGTCATTGTTTTAGTCAATGGTTTTACAAATCCTGTTCTGAATATCGAAAGAAGGCAGTTAATTTTGAAGTGAACAAAGAAGTTCGGGCGGTTGCTAATCCTGCGTTTGGATGCTCGTCTACTTCCATGTACAGGCACACAATACTTGAGTATTGTGTGCATTAAAACAATTCTTCTTTTGTTTCAAACCATTGTCTACAACGTTACCTGTATAAATGACGGAGCATCTGCGATGTTTGGAACTACCTACTTATTGCTGCACCCGTAATATTCCCACGTGTAACTTATCACCGTCAGATGCCATTTACATATCCACCATTTTAAAAAGGCACCTACTAACTTACTAAAGAGTACGTCTGTAATCGAAAACATACATACATTGATTAAAAAACCACATAATGTTAGTTCCGCCCGCGCAGTTTCACCGCTGCTCAGCTCCTATTAACTGAAGCGTGGTATTTTATAGCTTTCCTTGGTAAATGGACTATCCGATACAAAAAGTTCCTGAGATTAGCGTGTTTAAATAAACTCTTCATCAGCTTTATGTAGCGAAAGCGACAGAGCACATATTCACAGTTATTTTCATTCATCCGCCTCCAATTCATATGAATCTATCCCAATTATTTTCACAAAATAAATTGCGTAGGTATAGTCGTATTAACGTTATAGCCGTAGCCGTACGTTAACACAACGCCCTACTTTTTGGTCCAAACATAACGCCAACCGATGTCCTTAGGTATATTTTATTGGTTTTAATTTCTCTCCCATGGTCAGATTATCTTAAATTCTAAAATATTTATCGCCTTGGTACAGGTACCTATACCAACGCAAGAAAGTAGAAAGACCAAATAAAAACAGCATGATTATTTACTATTAGTTAATTATCAAAATTAATAAGTTTAATTACCTAATGACTTTGAGGATGTAAATGATATTTTGAAACAAATGACCCTATGGGCGATTATACAATATATTATAATACCAGGTGTCATCGTAATTGTACTGGCAGTTTTTGTGTAATGTGTGAACATACAGACAACCTTCTTTTCAACCGACTTCCCAAAATAACCTCCTCTTATCAATTCGGCTGTATGTTTTTTTTTCGTGTTTATGTTACCTGATTACTCCGGCGTTTGTGGACAGATTTTAATGATTATTTTTTGTTGAAAAAGTCATACTCTCGGGATGGTCCCATTTCCACCAGGTCAGGATTCGATGATGGGATCCTATGGAAATCGAGGGAAACTGTTCAAAACGGTATGGGTGGCGAAAGCGTTTGTTAATTTTTTGATATAGTGTTTGCAACTACTACAATTTGACAAAGGTATGGAGTTGATCTGATGATAGAGTCAAGAGACAACCGAGGGAACTCCTCGAGAATTTGTATCAATGATCCCGTGTTTGGGCTTAAGTTATTTCTATTGAGAAGATCTGTACATCTATATTGAATGTAATTGTCATTAGGGGACTGATGGTGAAGTAGTAGAAGACTGAAGGGAACTCCTCAACGGTTAACAGAATTTACCTGGTGTTTGGGCTTGATTAATTTGTAATGATGAGAACGTTAAATGCCAACGCTGGCCAGTAGGCTGCGCGACGTCGCCGCGACCGCTCACGCTGCTCATGAGGAAGAACCCCTCTGTAGTCCGAAACTAGAAGAGCTTTTCTCAGTAAGCATATTTACGAGAGTAACCCGCGATTTTTAGTTAATTTAGTATGTCTCACGATAGTTATTATAAAATGTAGTACGTGTAGGTACCCACCTATACCAACGCAAGAAAGTAGAACTATAATGACACTAAATAAAAACAGCATGATTATTTACTATTAATTAATTATCTAAATTAAGAAATTAAATTACCTAACGATTTTGATGATGTAAATGATAATTTGAAACAAATGATCCTGTAGGCCATTACAACAAGTCTATTGTCTTACTTATCGGAAACTACACAATAACTGATAATTACTTTCTATTCAAAATGGGATTTATTTTCGCCGGGTACCTGGCTTAGCCGTTCGTGGTGTTTATGACTCCCATTGTAATCTTTACTTTTGCAAATTACTGTATTCCGTTCAGTCAGGCGTAGTTCAGTATCTTCCGTGTCTTCATTGCGAACAGAGCTCCCCAGAGAAAAATCAGAATTATGGAAAACAGTGCAAGTTATAATCATACCGACGAGAAGAGGTTCGCCGCTGCGGAGGCGCTTCTGGCCCTGAGTGGAACATGGGAGCTAACCCCGGCTGCAACCCCGGTTCCAGCCCTGGCTCCAGCAGCGGCTCTAGCCCCGGCTCCAGCAGTAGCTCTAGCCCCGGCTCCAGCCCGGTCTCCAGTCCGGGCTCCAGTCCGGACTTCAACCCGGGCTCAAGTCCAGACTCCAGCCCCAGCTCTAGCCTCGAGTCCAGCCCCGGCTCCAACTCCAGCTCCAGAAGCAAATAGGACTGAAGAGCAGCATGAAGAAACTCAAGGTTAGTTTTTATAAAAAATAACTAATTATCGAAAGCTTCTTATGCAGTATGTGAGTATAAGACTCTTGTTAATGTAGGTACTTTATTGGAGCTTTAAAGCCGTCACAGACCTAGCTATAATTTAAATGAATATACATTGTAATTAATATACCTAGCTACTACAGACGGGACATGTACCATAATACATATTCGGTCGGCGATCGTATCGATTTAAATATAATATGTCGGAGAAATTGCATCCATTGGGGGTACTTCGGAAAACGCGGTAAGTTCGGTACGAGCTGGCAGAACAACCGCTCACCCTCGTGTATAACTCAAAACTTCCATACTTCGGAAAGCACGTTACGCCGTCTTGCGTCGGTTTCTACTTCCAAAGTCGGTGCTATTTCTCTTAGCAAAATATACAGAGTTGATGTCACTTAGGTAAAGCACTTATTAGTGCTTATTAATAGGTATTACCGAATATAGTATTCCGAATCTGGAATAGGCCAAGGGCACAATGGTGGGCAGATACCTACTTATATACTTATTTGTAAACGTTCCGTACCATTTATCTATTATCTGTCTATCTATTACCTTAAACGAACAATTCTTGTATATACGTATATAATCTATGATCCTGGAAAAAGTTTCATCGATTTTCTGGACATTTTGTATTCGAGAGTTTCAGGAGCGATAAGTCGGTTTAGATAAGTTTCACTTTAAGTAAATGTCGTTTAAATAAAATCCTCATTACAATACAATGCTTATGCGGCATAGTTAAAGATACTAAAGTAAAATAGCTCTTAATAGGGAGAGCAGATGCCTGCTGCTGCTGCCGGGTTTTTTTATTTTGTCTCTTTTTTCTATTTTAATTTTTCATTTATTTTTAAAATCAATATTGCGGTACTAAACAAACAGCTAACAAAGCTCGGTCAAACACGTACTAGTTATAATAACATATGTTTCACAATAAATAAATAAATACATAATTAGAGGTACAATTTATTTTCAAACATAATAGTCTAGAAATATACAGTTTTGTTTAAACTGTCAAACACCAAGCGGTCACCGGTGACCGCAACCTATTGTTCTAGAGGTATAATTGTGTCTATAATGACGGTACTCGACGAGTTAAAGCTATATAAGGTTCACAACAGAAGGTGTCTGAACTAGGACATCCTGTGTTTCAGGCGAGGTTAGGTAAAAGTAATAAACATTGTTATATAATCATAAGTACTTAAATGCTAACAAGTTAAGGTAAATAATGACAATATTTAGTTATATCTAGGAATATTGATATAAAGTAGTACTTAAATTCTATGTTTAATATGTATATAAGAGTATGTAGTATATAAATAAGAGATTAGGAGCTTACTATAAGTATTATTTAGGAACTAATAGTAACTTCTCTGTGTCTTTATAGGACATGTCTTGAAGGGGTTTATGAGCCTATGAGGGGTTTATTTCATTTCATTAGAATTTTCTAGGCTATGGGGGTAAATCCATAACGTTGCATTTAGTCTATTGTACAATAACTGTCAGGGATTTTTTGAGAATTGATACTGATGCCAAATACATAATAAGTGAAATTTTTGTCTGTCTGTTTGTCTGTATAAACGAGAAACAAAAACTACTCGACGGATTTAAACGAAACTCGGTACAATTATTTTTCATACTCCGGAGCTCGTTTTAGTAAAGCAGAGCAGTGAAGGGAAATGTTGGGAAAACAGGAAAAGTTACTCCATTTTTTTAAGCTTCCGTCGCGTGTGCATTCTTATTTGTTAAATTCAGTGGCGTGCACACCATACATGCAAATAAGCACTGCATACCCTACAAAATCATGGTAAACCTACATAGTCAAATACATAGTGTCACTCATAAACACGACATGAATATATACTGACATCATACAGAGATTTCGTAATTTTATTGATACCTACTTAATTTGGAAAACTGGTAACTAACGCCATCTATCGAAAAAATATTGAAGTACTACAACCACTTTCTGCTTTCTTCGATATTGGAGCATTGCGCCAGTGGCGCCGCCACCTCGCTATTGTGTGATGGTGTCGGAAGCATGTACTAATGCGTAGCCGGTACAATTTGCTTGTTTTCTCGTGCTGATGTTGGATTTTTTTTTGTTAGGTTGGTAATTTCTATACAACTGCATAAACACTGCTTCTTCGTTAACCGACTAATTTAAGAAGTCAACAAAACGTAGCGTTTTTTGATTGAAAATAGATATATTAATTTTGGTCAACTTATTGTTTACGTTTTTTTGGCCATTTTGTTTTGGTTATGTTTTTATGTGCAAGTGAATAAATTGTAATGTAATGTAATTATAATTTAAATGAACTGTTATTTTACCGAAAATTATGTAAAATTATAGCTGTGAGCTCTGTGCTGGTGATTTGTGTTGTTCAATAAATTCAATATGAGTGCGTTGTCCATAATGTCGTTCGAAGAAGAAACGAAAATATTTCCGAAGGCGATTTTGCGTGTGTCGTATGTCCGGGCTAGGCGTAACTCAAAAAAGGTAATAATTTTTTTATTTCTTTTAATAAACTACGATTTGCGATTATAGGTATAGTTTGTTAGCACTGGTTGTGTACCAATTTCATTATTGTTTTTAAAATCCAGTCATCTTGATCTCGCTTTGTACGATTTTTCTATGCATTTAATGGTCAGTTTATACTGGTGTCGCATAGCTTGATGTGTAACCATTTGTACTTCGCCGCTCCAAAGTAGGTAGGTACCTAGTTAATAGATTTGTAAAATAGATACCTAGGTATCGATGTTGATCAACTTTATACACGGATAGTTTGAAAATAATTATGTAAGTACCTAATTTGTTTTTACAAATTAATAAAATACTTACTAAACCTAATTACCTACTCAAAATTATGATGTTTCGGGAGTTTTATTTTCCGAGATTATTGTAGACCAAATTTTTTTTAATCATGTGATGCCTTCTGCCTACCCTACTTCAAATCTCTGTGCACGCCCCTGTTACTTATATTTATTTCTTTTATTGCGTCGTAAGACTTTTACTATATTCGAAAATAGACATAACTTACTTATAAAGTAAGAAATTACATAGAAACTGAATTCAAAGTCAAAGTCAAATCATTTATATATGTAATACTAGCTTTTTCCCGCGACTTCGTTCGCATGGAATAGTGACTTCCGGCAGATTTTTGGTTTTACCCACATAGCTCCGGTTCTCTTCAAAAATTAAATGTGGAAGATATTTTAGGGAACTCTTCAAAAATCAACATAATGAGCTCTGCGTGAATTGAAGATATGTATACCCGCTTAGGCCTAATTTTGTTTTATTTTATTTGCAGAGCGTTAACGACCAAATGCGCCGATGAGTGCAAGATGCAGAGAATGCGTGACGCATTCTCCGGGAGAGTAAATCAAAACCAACAACATGAAGAATAACATTCAGATGATGAAGTACAACCAGAACAAGAAGATACTTTGCAGAATGTACCGGAGTCTCTAGAAGGCTAAGTGGAATAAAATGGAAGTGAGTTTTTGCAACGAAACTGAATATAGCATATAATGAACTTTATATCCACTTTATAAGTACGAGGCAAATTTAAACGCGCGTCTCCCTTGGAATTCCTCGCGCATTCTCGAGAATTACCTAATTTATGTGTTCTTAAGTTGATAGGTATAATGTTCCTTATGCTCTGTACAGTTTCATCGTTTCTATTATATATTGCACCGCGATGTAAATTGAGCCTATTAATAATGTAGGCAGATGTACTAACCACAGACGATTCCGGCCCAAATAAACTGTTCAAATGTAAATAGGCTGTAAATTAAAATTAATTGTGTAAAGTTAGTTTATGGATTGAATAGAATAAGTAATAATATAATAAAAAAAATACAAAATGTATAACATGAAAGAAAAAGAAAATAAGTAAGTTTAATATCAGTTTGTTAACAAGTTTAAATTAGTTTTAACTTTAGTATTAATTAGTTTTAAGGGAATAATATATAAAAGCAAATAAATTATGTTTTATTTTACAATTAGATTTTCTTTGTTATGACTTACAAGTTATATTTTTGTCCCGTTTCCTAATGTCTGGTTGGCCAACATGTACTCTCCAATAGGTATAGGACGTAATTTAAGTACATGAACTATCTGTCACTTATGTATTCATGAATGCGGTGGACCTTTACTTAAATAACACTAAACATAACACAATAATGATATCGGTACAATATCTACACATACACCGCGAAATGTATTTTGTTTTCGTCCCGCGGCAAAACAACTTGCCATAAGGAGAACTATCGATGTATAAAGTGAAAACAAAAAAAAAAACATTTTTAGTTTAAAAAAACATGGAAATACGCACAATAACTTACATTTGTAGGCACTATTCGCATCGCACGTGCCGCCCAACGAGAATTCTCTTCGAGAATTACATAGCGTTATTTGCTATGAGTTCGTTTGCGCTTCCAAAGTTAACCTTTTGCAATGGTTCACAAGTTATTTTTATCTTAAACATTTTATTTCTTTGTTAAACTGTTGTTAAACCATTTTACTTCGGAACGAAAACGAAAGTAAGTTTGATTTTAATAGATAGATTGAAATTGAATTGACATTGAGATAAATCTTTGCAACTTAAATTTAACTACAACTAAACTATTGAATAAAACGAAAGTAAAAAAAGCAAACACCAAAAATTATACCCTATTACATATTTCTATGTTAAATCGAAATAGATTTCACGGTATATATTAAAACTGTAGAAGTGTAAATGTTGTACATTGCACATAACATCACGCCTTTTATCCCCCAAGGGGTAGGCAGAGGTGCACATTATACCACTGTACAATGTAACACCCACTTTTCACTATTTATATTATAAGTCCCTTGTAATAGGGGGTGAGCCTATTGACATATACCGGGCACAATTCCAGACTCCGTGCTGACTGAGAATATTAAAAAAAACCCAGTAATACTCTGCCCGACCCGGGAATCGAACCCGAGACCCCTTGCCCGGCAGTCGCACTTACGACCACTCGGCTAACGAAGCAGTCAGTCAGAACATTGCAACTTTAAAAAATGAAATGAATGAAAAATAGTACATAGGGGGTGTAATTAGAAGACACCAAACCCAAATGTGTGATTAAACATTTTTCTTGTTAAACAAACAAACAGACAGACGTCTATATGTATGTTCACGCATCACACAAAAACTACCGGTCCGATTACGATGGAACTTGGTATGATATTATACTTTAATATTCGGGGCATCGCACTGGGTACCTACTTTTATCCTAAACAAGTATGTACATTTAAACACTAGTTAATATAATTATGCGGCTCGATCCCTAGACACGATAACTGTACCAAATGCAAATATAACTTTGTCGAATGTTAGGTTACCCGCAACCGCAATGGACATTGCGCTGTAACTGTAGGGCCGATGGTCGAAATTAGCTTGAGCGGCTATTATAATCGTAAAATTTGTGAGTTTGTGTGTTACTCAATAACGTCCAAACGGTCGTAGGGACCGAGATGTAATTTAGAACAGAGGTAGACTATGGTCTGGACTAACACATAGGCAACATTTTACCTTTATTTTTTGGAAGGGGAAAATCATTCAATGGCTTTTCCCGCCCGGGTGAGGCCAGAGGGAGTGTCAGATTCTTATTGAGTAAAAACCACCCCGTTCTTGAACTCCTGCACTTCGAACAGGAGCCCCAGGAACCCATAACATCACGCCTGTCTTCCCCTAAGGGGTAGGCAGAGGTGCACATTACGAAACTTAATGCCACTGTACAATATAACACCCACTTTTCACTAATTATGTTATGAGTCCCATGTAATAGGAGGTGAGCCTATTGCCATATACCGGACACAATTCCAGACTCCGTGCTACTACTAAGAATTTTTTAAAAACCCAGAAATACTTTGCCTGACCCGGGAATTGAACCCGAGACCCCATGCCCAGCGGTCGCATTTGCGACCACTCGGCCAACGAGACAGTCATATACTCGGCTATTAACCCATAGTATGCCGGGAGCGTGGGTATACGCGAGACACATGAGACATAAGTAATGTGTTTTCTAATATGACTCATGCAGATAAGAAGTCAATACCATGAAGATTCTCTAAAAAAATATCTATGGACTAGTTTAACCTGTGGTATTATGTCGGAGCGTATATCTATGCGCGACACAATGCGTTTTCTATTGTGTCCCAAATACCGACCCGACATACAAGAGGTTAAGTTAGATATTTATTGTAAAATGATGTTCGTTTTCGTGATTTCAAAAAAAAAACAATCCCACAGAGATTTTATCCACATAGTAACAACTCCCGTGAGGTTTCAGTGATTAAAACGCCATTTAAATTGCAATCAAAAAGGTACAGCGGTTGAAAACGGTGTCATTTTCCGAGTCTCAAACTGTCGGAGTACCGAATTCCACTCAAGTAACTTTAATGGTTTACAAAGTAGAGACTAGAAAGACCCAGAAGCTTAACGCAGTTTCCGTCCCGTGGGATTTCCGGGATAGAACAATCATTGGTCCTATCCAGGGCCAGTATCTCAAAGAATTTTTCTCCCGATGAACCGAATTTCAATCAAATATGAAATAGGTTCAGTGGTTAATAATATTAGTATTCAGCAGTGGCGTGCACAGGGTTTTAGAACAGGGTAGGCAACATAATATTGTATTATGATTAAACTCATCGTAAATACATAACATAATTCAACTTATGAGGTTTTTAATCTTTCGTCAATTCTTTGTAACAGTGCCATCTCTCGTTGTTTTCGTGAAGTATTACATCAACTTATTGATTACTCTAACAACTTAAAAACATTAATATTCTATTTTTCTCTTTAGATTTGTAAAACTAATCTGCATAATTACCTACTCGAGGTGCTGTATAACGATTAATCTAATTTATGTTATCAATTCAGTAGCAGTAACGAATTGTTCATTCTAAAAATTGTACTGAACTGGCGGCCTGTCCAGCCTTCTCACGTTTAATACAAGAATATTACGAATTCTTTACTCTTTTAATTTAATTCTTCGAATTAATAAGTTTGGTTCATCTATTCAAGAGATATTATGATTTTAAGAACTTGGGTATGACTAATAGAAAAATCGAACCGAGCGCGGCCGGCTGCGGCCGAGCCGAGTAAGCGGTAGTACATTTTTTAGTATTATTAAACATTCATTTACCTAGCTTATTCTTCTTCATTTCATTTTATAATTAGTACATAACATATTACTTAAAGCTTCGTTATTTTTACTGACTGAGTTGCCGCGACGGGAAGCTCCGCGTAGGTACCTACTTATGTTACATAACCTAATCACATTAAAATAAAGTAACTTTCATAGAACTTACCAAGACAAGACTATCAGAAGAAAAACTCACACACAATCTAATCACTAAGCGATGGTCTGCGATAGTTTATAATTCTTTACCAACTTTTGTCAATACAAACTTCACAGTTCTTCGTATAACTTTGCAAAATCAATTAACAAATAAACAAACACAGTAATAAAATGTACTTATATAAATAGACAATTTTATACCGTTTACTACAAATTATTTGCGTAGAATTACTAATCGTATTCTAAATCAAATAACAAAATTATCCGAAAATCCACGCATCGCACGTAAACAAAAACAAAAAAATTGTCACGCGCGAGCGGCGTGAAGTTCGCTGCGAGGCGACCAATGAGTAAACCAAGACACGGAACGTGATTGGTCGGCTCGCGGCGAACTTCAATCACGAGTCGTCAGGCCGTGCCTGCAGGCAAGCTTCGCGACGATAAAATAAACGCGTCTGTGCACTACGCACACAATGACGTTCACCACTACACGCTTAAATTTATGAATGGTTTGCAGGCGACGGAACCGCGTGCCTGCCTCGCGCGTTAATGTTTACAGCTATATACGGTACGCCTGGCGAAATGCAACACGTATCGCGCGCCATCATTGTTGCTATACTATTTATTTTAGGCGTTCACTAATTTTATTATAATTATTATTTTAGTATTCTGTAGTAAAATTAAAATGTTTATATCTTTTATTACGTAGTGTTATTCACGGTATTTGTAAGGTAGGCAAAGCCTTTTTGCCTATATGGACTGCACGCCACTGGTATTCAGTCTCTATGCATGCCTTAATGTTATATGATAATAAAAAAATAATTTTCAGTGATCCATTGGCACGAAACCCACATGTCAATAATATGTTAGATTACATAGAAATGTTATCACTACATAGTATAAAACAAAGTCGCTATCCGCCGTCTGTCTGTCCCTATGTATGCTTAGATCTTTAAAACTACGCAACGGATTTTGATGGGGGTTTTTTCGATAGGTAGAGTGATTCTTTGAGGAAGGGTTACGTATATAATAGGTACATGCATATTGCACCCGTGCGAAGCCGGGACGGGTCGCTAGTAAATTTATATTATAATATTATTTTGTGTGTGACCGTTAGTTTTGTTAGAAATTGACGTGACTTTATTTGGAAGGATTGAAAACAGGCTACAATTTGTTTCTTTTTAACCTACCACTTCCCTAAAACAGGAGGTGGAAGTTTGTATAGAGCACTTTGTAACTTTCAAGAAAACTAAAATGTACATTATATTTTTGTGACCAGCAAAACATCGTGTACCAACTCTTTTTTATCTTTTGTAAACCTGTGCTCAATACTTTATAAGAGCGCGAGCGAAACCGTGGGTTAGTCCATGAATAAATTGTATTCAGTTAATGAAATTCGTATTTTTCCTTAAAATCCTCGATGCTGATGCAGCTAAATACTATTATTAGTCTTGAAAACAGTTTCCTATTGGCAGTGAAAGGATTAAGCAAAATAAGGAGCTTTAGTTTTTTCACACATCTTGTTACATCATAGAAATTTTTAAACGATTCCGTTTTTTTTCTCTTGTTAAATATAGCCTATGATCATCATCGATAATGTAGGATTCCAATGGTAAAATAATTTTGTAAATCGGTCCAGTACTTTCAGAGGAGATTCCATTCAAACAAAGAAACAAAAAATCTAACGTTTCCTCTTTATACTATTAGTGTAGTAAGATAAGTGTAGATTATGAAGTTTTTAAATAAGTCCATCTTTTGTAACCATTTATCGGTTCAGCAGCCAACCAATGGTTGCTGTCTCTGTACTGAATCAATCTTTATTTTGTTACCAGCATAGTACCTCTAAACAGTTGTGGTGACTGAACAAAAAAAAAATAGGGTTTTCGGAATTTTCCTTTATATTGTGCTACAAAACATTGGTTCATGCCAAACTCATTGCACTATTACCTATGCACTAACGAGCATTTTTACTTACACAACATCACGCCATTTATCCCCGAAGGGGTAGACAGAGGTGCACATTATGCCACTGTACAATGTAACACCCACTTTTCACTATTTATGTTATGAGTCCCATGTAATAGGGGGTGAGTAACGAGCATTTATTAATACAATTTCTAGTGTGAATGATTGAATTATTTTAGGCACAATTACAATATATTTATATCGTAATCAATGAAACAATAAATGATTAAGTACCTAACATAACATTACATCATGCCTTTAATCCCCGAAGGGGTAGGCAGAGGTGCACATTATGCCATTGTACGATGTAACACCCACTTTTCACTATTTATGTTATGAGACAATTCCAGACTCCGTGCTATTACTGAGAGTTTTTTTTAAATCCAATAATACTTTGGCCGACCCGGGAATCGAACCCGAGACCTCTTGCCTTGATTAAGTAATTATTTTTAAACTAATTTAAAGCAAATCAAACGTAGGTAACACAACAAACTGAATTGCTTATTAAATAACTACTTCCGCTCTGTTTTACCTGCTCTGCTCAGCGCCTATTGATCGGAGCGTGATGTTTTATAGCCAATAACCTTTCTTGATAAATGAACTATCCAACTCAAAAAGCTATTTTCAAATCAGACCCGTAGTTCCTTAGATTAACGCGTTCCAACAAACAAACAAATGTATATAATGCGTTATTAATAATTTGGTTATTAGGTTTTAGCACATTCAATTAAAAATTTGTTTTTAAACACATTTTTGACATATTTTCATAATTACTTAATATTACTCCCTATGTGTCAATTGGAAAGTACCAATTCCGTGATTCACAGTCGTGTTGGCAAATATAAAACGCTATTAGAATTTAGAAATAAGATAATTAAAGAAGATTTAGGTTTTTAGGTACCTACCTAAGTTAGTACTTAGGTTATATATAAGTAGGTACGATACATAAGAACTACACGAACGAAGTCTCGTCGTATAATACTAGTATCTATAGAACTAAATAGATACCAATTAATGATAGATAAAAGTGTTGCTACTGTAATTAAGTTTCACCAAGTCGATGGACAGAGAAACAGATAGATTATAATTAAAATATACTACATACATAGGTACCTACTACAATCAAATTACAATCAAATAGTATCTAAAGCCGCCCAATAAGTACTTCGACACGTTATTTTAAACAAATGCGGGTTGGAGCACAAAATCATATAAGTCGCCAACAGAGAACTGACAAGGAAGTTGGTATGTTGCAAAAAAAGGATGTTTTTTGTGGGTACCCGAACCCGGGCCGTTGGCGAAATCTATTGTTGTGTCCGGCGGGCGGGGGTAGCAATAACTGCGCAGTAAGGGTGCACTGGAACTTTTACCTGAGTTACGTACGGCTTGCCATTCAGTAGTGTACCACACTTCGGAGTGACTGGTATACATAATTATGCGGCCTGTGAGTCCAACATCTGGAGGTTCTCCGAGAAATATGAAGTGGGTTCTCGTGCAATGGCCAACTAAAAAGCGTGATTTGGTCAACATGCAATCTCTTTTGTGCTCTTCGGAGGAAGAGGTGAGGGCTGGGAGATATGTAAACCTGCACTGGGCTGGGAGGGAGAATACGGCACTTGTCGTTGCGCTTTCAAGTAAGTACCTAATTGTCTAATTATAAAGTATCATGCTAAACTTTAACGGTACATTATGTGAGGTACATAAATATATTTCACAACAATGATATACCTAAATATACGTAATTATAAAAAATATACCTAAATGCGAAAATTTGTGAAGATGGATGTACCTATAGTATGTTTACTACCCTTACATGAAAAACTAATGGATGGGTTTGGATGTGATTTTGTAGTTATAGATTATACAGTCTGGAATTATTGTGGACGAAGCCGATGGCAAGAGCTGGTTTAGAATTTTATTAAATAATATCTCTTCCCTTTACTTGTTTTACTTGTGAAACGTGGTATTTTTATATTAGACAAACGGATTAACAGGAAAAGAAAGTAATAATTGTTTAAATAGGATCCATCCGTCCGAAAGCGACCGTATTTAACTGAAAAGGTCTATTGAGAGCATAATTGTCAAATTCGATCTTATTTGTGTGTCCTTAAAGCCGAATTCAAGTTGTATGTTCCAACTAGTATTGACAATAGACAAAGCGTAGGTAACAATATGACAATAAGTTTGCACGAAGGTACCCGATACCCGGATTTTATGATGTTATCTATTGGACTTTGTTTCAAAAACAATGTTTTAAAGTATTACCTGACATTCAGTTTAGGGTACCCTATAGAATTGCTATGTATTGTCTCTCCGTCTGTCTATTCATGTGTATTTTAAGACCACTTTACGAACATACATATCTAATGGTATTTTATTTAGGTGTAATCAGATTGGGAAGCAATCAATTTCATACCTAAATCTGACTCTTGAATTTACCCAATCAGTTATATTGGTTCGGCATTTAATTCTAACAAGATCCGCCATTTTTGTGTCGTCAAAATTCCAAGGCTTCTAATTGGCTAGCCGAGAGGAATACTTGTTCGAATCGTGGAAGGGGAACGCCTTGCCGCAATAAATCGCATCGCAACGTATAGAACCGCGGGAAATTGCGTCGCATCGCAGCATGTGTGCAAGCCTTGGTTGCCTTGAATACCATGGATTAATTAGAATATTCCATTATCACTTTACTGCACATTGAACAATATATAACTGTCAATCTTCTTTCTTTTTAAATATCATTGTCGTAGGTACTTACGGTTACAAAAACACCGCCTGGATGTAATACATGTGAGAGCATCACATGTGTTACAATTTGAGTGTCACACAAAAAAATGTTCCAGGCTGGAATCAAACCCGCGCGTACCGCAGTAGCCACTACAGTCTATGATTATTTTTTATTTACAATTTAAAAACAAATGTAATCAAGTATTTATTGCATCGATAATGTACATAATATACAGGTGGTTAGAAAATACAATAAGTAATAATAATTATGAACCGTGTCGGGCCCAGCAACATTTAAAATTGTAGACCAAGAAGGTACTAATTTTTAAATTAGTTTTATAATTCATTAATAAGATTTACCTATAAACAATAATGTCTTTAGGTAATGATGACAGGCCGTAATGACATAATTAAAAAAAGACTTCACCTCGAACTTCAAATCGAATAACGTAACATAGTTTTCCTACTTTCACCATAGTGTGTTGTTGTCGCATAGTCTGTAAGAATATTTCATTGTGGGTCAGTTATCAAATTGGGCATGATACACAAGGTATTATTTAAACATCATGTACCATCGACCTAATAAAAAAAAACAGTAAATTAAATTAAATAATTCTTTTATAAACTACGTTAAAAAACCGACTTCAGTCCCTCCTTTTTTAAAGTCGGTTAATCTTTTCCAAAGTATAACAAACACTTTTCTGGAAACCCAAACAAAATCGGTTCAGCCAGTCGCGAGATAATCGCGCATAAACAAACATACTAAGAACCTCCTTCTTTTTTTAAAGTCGCTAAATTAAAACCAACTGGTACACTAACGTTTTCTTGCAGATGATCGTCATATGCTGGAATCTATGATGGAGAAACGATCGAGGTCACCTGTAGCAGGTTCTAGCTGGAGCAGGAAGATGGAAGAGATCGATGGGGATTATTCCTCGAGTGCTTCGTCTTGGAAGCCAAGTGATGATGAGACTACGTCGTCGGCAGACTCCGATGAGGTTCATTCACCTTTACTAATTATAAAATACATATACATATAAATGCGTGTTTGAACAAGTTTGGTTACTAAACATGAAGAAATATTATTTCCATATACACAAGAACAGATGTACCTACAAGGTACAATTTGTTATATCTGCACAAATCTATACAAATAATGTAACCGTGTCGTGTAAACTAGGTATTCCTGTATGGTCGTACCGTAGTTAGGTATAGTATAATAAGCAGTGTAGGGCGTAGTTAATTACTATTTTGTAATCAGATTGCTAATTACGATTAAAAGTAGTTGACTACATGTAGTTATGATTACATTTTTATTTAACTGAAGTAATCAAACTACATGAAGTAGTTAGTAATTTGATTACTGTAATCTAGTAACTACTAGTCTAGTCTAAATAATCAGTAGTTGTAACTACAACTACTGATTATTTGACTCCTAAGAACTTTTATTTTTTAGTGAAATAAAATGTGATGTGTTTGGAATTATTGATTTTGAAGAACAGGAAAGATAAGCTATGTCACTTATTCTAGCATACCTAATATAATTTGTACTTGATGATGAGATACCTACTTACTTATTTTTTGTTTGAGTTAGTTTTCTATCAGTATCACATCACATAGGAAGTAGGTAGGCCCAATTTCCTACTAGAATGTATTAAGTAGGTACTTTTGATCTGGCAATTGATTTGCTGCTATTGTTTTGTTTACGTTTAGTTAAGGTTATGTCGATTTCTTAGTAGGTACCTATTGTAGGTAGGTATAGTTACTAAGTACCTACCTGCTTACAGTTACAAAATCGTAATTCAAAATAAGTAATTGACTATGGTCTATCGATTTATGTGGTTAACCAAAGGTAAACAATCTTGACATGTTATTTTAAAAATTGTAATTTAACTAAAAGTGACAACCCTAACACAGTAGGCAATTATATCGCGGATTGGGTTAGAAGATGGCCTACTTCCCTTTTCTTTATACTATGATCCAACGGTCGCAACACCACGCTCTAACTACCTAACTAGCAAACGACAAGTCGATACTTGAACGCGTTTGATTATTTAAAATGTTTAGTTATAAAAAGTAATCGTAATCGTAATCGTGATTGCAACTACAATTTGTAGTTATTAATCAAAATTTTTAACTACTTTTACGATTATTTAATGTAATCTGTAGTTTTGATTCCTAACTACAATATGTAATTGTAGTTAGTAATCAGTTATTAGATTACATTTTGCCCAACACTGAGTATAAGTATCAATTAAATTTGTATAACTAGTATGTATACCTATATTCAATATACTGATTTTATCTAATAACTAAAATAATGTTATCTACGTAAAAAGTAAAAAGGTGCGATGTCATTTTCAATTACTGTCCCAAAAATATTCGTAAAAATGTTACCATTGTTATTTTATTTAACTTTGAAATTATAAACTTTTGCAGGACATCCAAGCAAACAGAAAGCACAAAATTATTGACAAGAAACGCCGACTATTAAACCGACATTCAATGAATAACCTAGTGACTCCAAAGCACAGGTCCACTCCAATTGAATCGCGTTCTGAGTCGTCATTAAAGAATTTACACAGAAAGAACGTAAAGTCCCAGGATGGTAGAATTAACAAGGGACGTACAGACAGATCTTTACCGGCTTTGGCAAGAAACATCAGAACTGAGAGAATTAATCATAAAATTCGACCAATTAAAAATGACGATTATATTTACCGTATGGAAAATTTGATAACGATTTTTGAATGCCTAATAGATTCTATCACAGAACGCAGAAAGAGTATGTCGCCGAAGGCTCGACGGCTGGAGGAGTCACCGGAGGCGCCACAGCGGCATGAGTCGCTGAAGTTATCTGAGTCGTCGAAGTCATCGGAGTCACTGGATGCACAGACTTATAATAGGAAACAACAGCGAAAACATATGAACGGCTGTCTAGATGAGGCTCAAGCTGGCTCCAGCCGCCCCGCGGAGCCCATGGAGGAAGATCATGAGGATGAGTTTGATCGATCTGATGACGAGGTCCTCATCACTAACCACTTGAGCAGAGTTCTCAATAAAGAAATTCACAGAATGAAAACGGATAAAAATGTCACTCTACAAACTATAGAGAAAAGTGTGAAGAGGATCACGACAGAAATAAAGAGCTGTCAGAAAGCAATAGTTGAACTTAACGCCAATAAGGAAAATGAAAATATTAATACCGCCATAAAACCAACCGACAAAACAGATAAAGAATGGGTAAAGTTATACTTTGTTATAGTTCTTTTATATACTTACCGTATTCCTGAAAATGGGAAGTTAAATAATAATACTTTACTTCCTATTATTTAATTTTCGATTAAAAAGGCTTTTAATTATTATCCTAGAAAAGTACAATTTGCACGCATATATTATACTAGCAGCCCGTCTCGGCTTCGCACGGGGTAGACAATTATTTATTTTTGGAAATTTGGATTGTTGTAGTCACATAACTACAATAGTTGGACATATGCTACCACGGAATTTTTGTAGACATTACGATATTCTTCAATATTGTTGTACATTACATATTTTGTTCTATCGCTAATAGTTTCGGCAGCGCATTCGACGAAAGACATTTTAAGACTCATTTTGTACACCTTCGGTTACTTTGTTCAAATTTTACCAAGGATCCCTGTTTTTTTTTCAACATGAAATGTAGCCTATGTCAAATTGGAAGAATGTAGCATTCTATTGGTGAAAGAATTTTTTAAATCGGCTCAGTACTTCTTGAGCCTATTCATTACAAACATACAAAAATAGGTACAAATCTTTCCTCTTTATAATATTAGTATGGATAGTATGGATTAATGACACTTTACTTCAGATTAAATTGAAATAATTGCGCCTACATCATAATCGCTAACTAATCAATGCTTTTGTGAATACACAGTAGACTGTTACTGTGTTGGTGTTCCAACTAGCATCTACCTTAAAAGTCAAATACCAATTGGAACACGTAACTGTTAACAAAATAACTAACATAAAACTTTATTAGGCGAAACATAATAAGTCTCTCATTGAATTGGGATAATGGCAATGTAACAATAAGAACATAGGTCGGAAAAGACATGTACTTTTTATTATTATTTATTTATTTATTTTTAGCCATGGTTGTCTCACTGCAGGGCAAAGGCCTCCCTACCCTCCTTTCACTCGTCATTTCCTAAAGCTTTCTGTGGCCAATCCTTATCAATTATTACTTATGGCAATCGAAATATATAATGGTGAATATTTTTATATAAAGTTTTACATTAGAATGATAATAATATTGTTTTCAGATCGGCATTGGCACCGGAAAAACATTGGTACATAAGGATAAGTTTAAAAATGTCAACTGGAAGTCCTATACAATTGCCACAAGGTCTTTGCTTCTTGCAATCTTCTCAAGACAGTAAGTAATGCAAACTACATATATCATAACTGTGCTGTGGAAAATTGTAATTAGAATGTACATTTTATACATATAGTTGGATGGTACATTTGAATTTCTTTTTTTATTTAAAATATATTGAAGGCAGCTGATACCTTGTATAGTTGTATACAATAATTTTGATGATCTTGTAATAATTTGGATAGTTACCACTACCTCGCATAACCTTTTTGCATCTTACATTACCACCTACCACATATACATTTCTGCACTACCTAAAAGGATGACTGGCAGAGAATGCTGTTAGCATTAAGTCCTGCTTAATCCTCCATTCTTAAATAAAGAAACACTACTATTTAATTCCACAGAGTCTTGGCTACACATTCTCTGTCTGGAAAGAAGTCGCCAGCCTTCCTTCACAAGCCAGCCAAAAGATCCCTGGATCCACAAGTAGTTTCTGATGTCATTTGCGAGATTACGGACAAATTTGGCGTATCAGAAAGTTTAGTTCGGTGAGTTGATGACTAAATCTAGTGTTCTTTCTCCAATAGTATTAGAAACATTTAAATTTGTTTCGTGAGACAAACTAAATTATTTATTATGTTTTTCGGCGTAATCATGTAATTATTTGACGAGGAACTTGTAGTAAGTAGCAGAGCGACAATGCCGCGTCATCGTATAGCTAATCGTCGTTGTTTTACCCGCTTTTCTTAGCTCTTGTTGTTTGCAGCATGATAGTAAATATCCTATAGCCTTCCTTGATAAATGGACTATCATACCATAGACATACCAAATTAATAGTTTTATATATATAGTTTTCGGCTTCTTACGTAATTGTTTGACGAGTAGTAGCGCGACCAAGCGCGACAGTCGCTGCGTCGCGGGTCGCGGAATGCTGGTAATAAATATGAGCCTCTATGGCTTGAAACTAGTCGAGCTCCTCGTCAAATAGTTACGTGAGTACGCCAATAAATATAATAATTGCTTTAACTATGGTTAAATACTTTAATAGACAAATTAACCCTTAATTTTATTTGCAGGGCCACCATTACTACAAAGTGCGCCGATGAGGCTAAGATGCTCAGAATGCGTCACGGTAAATGTGAAGATAACGAAAACATCCCACCGCCACCAAATGCAGAATGCCGCCAAAAAAAGCCTAGATGTTATTAGTTGACCAGCTATACGACTTCAACGCGTAAGGTATCGGATTTCCGAGACGTTAACCTATTATACGCTAATAGAGGTATATTATACGTTACACATTATCCATAAAAAGATACAAAGGTAAAAAGTCACACCACTCACCTGAATGATTTAATAACATTTGCTAAGTTATAAACCGATTTGGTAAGAAATTAGAAACTAATAAACAAAAATTTTGAGTTTAGTCAAACACTTTGATAAAAGCAATGCAATAGATTCCGTTGGTCTGTAACATACACCATGTGAGGAAAGTGGCAAATATGGGCTCGATCCATAACAGATTGTTATTCTTATAAAGTACATATTATATATACCTGTTTAAGGTAATTAATTATTATCTAATTGAATTGATTATTTTCAAATGTATTTGCCTTGTTTTAATTATTATTGTTATTAAGTCAATTTTAAGTATCTGTGTCCTTTTGCGGTACGAAATAGAAATACGAATAGGTACCTTAAATTTAAAAATAATACTCTGTCAAGAAAGTACCGGGAAAAGATCAATAATACACAAAATGTCTGTTATTCATCCAAATTTATTTTTTTCCTATCCTATCAACCTATCAGCGCCAATGAATAATCCATTCATCAAAAAATTTTTTAAACGCCAGTTCTCGCCGTGAATGCTCCTTTATGTCTTCTGTCACTAAGTAGTAATTTGAGTTTATGAAAATGAAGTTATCTGAGTCGTCGAAGTCATCGGAGTCACTGGATGCACGGACTTATAATAGGAAACCACAGCGAAAACATATGAACGGCTGTCTAGATGAGGCTCAAGCTGGCTCCAGCCGCCCCGCGGAGCCCATGGAGGAAGATCATGAGGATGAGTTTAATCGATCTCACTAACCACTTGAGCAGAGTTCCCAATAAAGAAATTCACAGAATGAAAACGGATAAAAATGTCACTCTAAAAACTATGTGTTTGGTCAAAAATTCGTTCACAATGATATCCTTGTGCGAAGGCGCATTGTCGTGGTGCAAAATCCACAAATCTGGCCTTTTTCGTCGAATTTGCTCTCTTAAACGCCGCATAACGCTCAAATAATATTCTTTATTTACCGTTAGACCATCCGGTAAGAATTCAGAGTGCACAACACCGCGATAGTCAAAGAAAACAGTCAACATGACTTTGACTTTTGATCGACTTTAGCGTGGTTTTTTCTGTTTCGGTTCAGTTGGAAGGCGCCACTCCGAAGCTTGTTGACTAGTTGCATGTCAAACTCGTAAACCCACGTCTAGTCACCAGTAACAATGCGTTTCATGAATGTTGGGTCCGAACTGACTCGTTCTAGCATGTCCTCAGCGACTTTCATGCGATTGAGTTTTTGGAGAAAATTCAGATCTTTTGGGACTAGCCGAGCAGCAACATGTTTCATAGCCAAATGATTAGTTAAAATGGTACGGATCGACTCGTGAGATACAGAAAGTTCGGCAGCTATCTCTCTCAGAGTTGAATGGGGATTTTCAGTCACTATTTCCTTCACTTTTTTGATGTTAAGTACAGTTGCAGACGTTGACGGCCTACCAGAGCGAGACAGATCTTTCATCACATCTCGACTGAACGCTTTGAACCACTCATAAGCACAAGTTTTTGATAAAGTCGATTCACCGTAAGCCTTCTGTAACATTTTCAGTGACTCCGAACACCTACCTAATTTAATTGGCGATGCAAAATTTAAAACAAACCCTTTGTTCGATATTTTTGTCTATTATGAAATTCGCAATTTCGCAATACATACTATATATATTACAAAAAAAAACTAAAATTTGAATTTGGAACCATAAACAATCATCCATTCCCGATACTTTTTTGACTGAAAGTAAGTCTATTCAATTAAGTGCCTCTTCAGTCAACGATCGCAAGTCAGACTGGATTTTATTTACTCGACTTGTATTGATGCCAAATTCGTTCCTGTAATTTTATTCCTAGGGCTAGGCAATGCGAGGATATTAGCCTTCCCCAATTTTTAAGCATTGGGTTTTAGTAAAATGTGGATTTATCGTGTTAATTATATTTTTGTCATGTTCATCGTTATGATTGTTATGTACATTGTTATGTTATATAAACTTTGTTATATTTAACTAAACTTAAGTCATCTGAACATTGTGCACAATTTTTATTATAGTTAAGAATTGAATACCTAATTATAGACTTGTTTGTGTAATGTGTATGTCTTATGTCTTTTATATTGATTTCTCTGATGACTTTTATATTAAGATTATAATTATATATGAAGATTGAATAAAACATTATAAATAAGTGCACTTAATAAACTAATAAATTTTTTGTAGTTTTTTTTTATTTCATCAAAAATTAGATACCTATTACACTCCCTTTTTGTCAAGTGGCGTTATTAAATGGCACCAAGCCTTTAGCTGCTATCGTTGCTTTAAAAATATGTAACACAGTTGGGTAGTTGACGGAGTAAAATTAAAACTCTAATTAGTCGGTCACACAGAACATAATATAAAGAAGGTTTTTTTTTTAATATTATAGATTATTTCTCCACGGACTCTAGGTCCGTGCCCTTGTCATACAGTTTTTTAATTATAATACATCTAGTCAATTTTTATAAAGTAAAGAGGGAACCTAGTTACACACTACAATTAACTACATCTATAATCTATAATATATATATATATATAAAGAAGGTTAGAAAGGAAATAGTTCCTGATTTGTATCCTAATTTTTTTTTATATCAATAATTTATTTATAATTTACTTATATTAAGAAAATTGTTAATTGGTAGTAATCACTGTAGTAATCAAAAAAGTATAAAAAATCGAGAAGATATTTTTTCGATTTTCTGTCGTTTTTAACTATAAGTTTTATAAAAATAAAGGGAAGGCCCGGGAAGTCATGTGGTCAAAAATAATAAATTTTTACTTAATTCAAGACATAAAAAATAGCGTAATTTCTCCCTAATGAATACAATAATGAAATATTGAGAATTATCATAACGTAACCATATCATGATAATTATATTTAAACTGTCAAACACCAAGCGGTCACCGGTGACCGCATCCTATTGTTCTATAATTGTGTCTACAAAACCGGTACTCGACGAGGTAACCTGTACTCAAAACTGTTATTGTCTCTGTTGGATATCATCATGACATTCTTATGATGACAACCGATAATCGTCGTTCGTATTTCTTTAATAGTTAAGATTTGCACAAAAAAGAAAATAAAATAGTTAATATAAATAGGAATTATTAGGTATAGTTTCAGTTACCATAATTTCCTTCACTGTATGCGAGTGGTGTGCAAATTAACTTAGAGGTAGAAAGTACGTATAAGTTGTTATGAAGCAGCGCCGCAACCTCCAGGCCAACACAATATTTTAGCTCACATAAATCAAGTCAGCTCTAAAGCTCTGAAAACTAGAAAAGTTATCAGGTATATATAGCTATTCTTAAAAAAAAGGTACAATACAATCGCTCCCAGGATATAATGTCATTTCATTTGTTGCCATAGCTTTGTTCTCGAATAGAAAACCTCAACAACAATTTGAGCCCAAGCATGTATGAAAGAGTATCCATCTTACGAAAAATGATTTAGATATCGCTTAGATAATATATATCAAGGTAGTTATGTAAAATAAAATTTCCTAAATCATAAAGTCTACTTACTGAACAAAACATAACGAACACATAAAAAGCATGTAAAATATAATACGAATAAAATGCCTCACTTAAAACCTATTTCATAATTAGTCGTAATAAATAAAATTATTTCAGTTATAATGACAATGTGTACAATTTGATAATAATCCTTTGTGTCATAGTAATTATCAACATTGTTTACAAATTGACACTTCTCTACTTATATCGATTCGAGAAAATGAAGTTTTGATTTGGTACTCGGGACTCTCGTTGTGAACGTAGGTAATACTCACTTCGTTCATCCTATGAGTGACTGTTTCGTGGATATCAACCAGGTAACGGTTCTCAGCCATCTTATTTTTATTTATTTATTTATTTATTTTATTTTATTTAGGAAACAAACAGTCACATAAAAAACAAAACTTATATAAGAAAACAATAGGTTCAAAAGACTTCGAGTTCCATACAATTTTTAAGTGTAGCATAAAAGTAACCTACCCACAATTTATTTTAAACAGAATGCACAAGCACATGCAGTCAAACATAGGTTACATTATTTTAAGAGAAGGTTGCGCAATTTCTTCTCAAAATCATAGCGTATGTTGTGTTGAGAGTTGATATGCTAGCAGGTAGTGCTCAAAGTATATTTAAATTACATAAAACTATGACCCATGTAAGTACCTGTGTTATTAACTAGTTTAAACAGTTACTGGTTACTGATACTCATAGAACACCGATCTTATGATTGTGGCGTCCCCTGGATATGTAGATGGCCACGGTCAACTGACTGTTCCTTTTTCCGAAGAAGGAAAAGAAAAACCCTTTATTTTTGTGCAAACCAAACCAGGGTCATTTCTTCTAATAGCCATCTATATGCGGACGATTTGCAGCTATAACGCCACTTTGGCTTGTCTGAGGCTCATTCTGCTATCGATGCCATAAATAGGGACTTGGATGGCGTTGCCCGTGGCTAGGTCTTTTGGCCTGCAAATCAGTCCTCTCAAGTCTCAGGCCATGATCATGTAGCAGATATTATCAAAACACTCTCGTCGGCTCTAGTCCTGGTCCGTTACGTTTGAATGGCACACACATTCCATTCACTGATACTGCGAAAAACTTGGGGGTACCTACATATCGACTCGAACCTGTCGTGGGCTGTTCAGGTGAACGAGGTTATTCGGAAAGTTCATTTCTCCATTCACTCGTTGAGACGCCTCCAGATCCTGCTGCCGGTGAAAACATTCACCTCGTCCAGGCGCTGAATCTGCCTCTCATTGATTATAAAGGTGCTTGCTATTTGGACGCCACAGAGAAGCTATTAAATAAACTTGAATGTTTTCAAAATGTATGTATCCGTTTCGTTTTTGGTCGTAAGAAGTTCGATCATATTTCTGAATTCCGTAACAGGCTCAAGTGGCTCCCAATCCGTCTTCGCAGTAACACTCGCATATTAGGTATGTCCTTTCTATAACATCCTCTTTCACCCAGCCTATCCTGTTTATCTCTGAGACCGTTTTTCCTTAGTCCCCATAATAAGTACCGACTTCTATTCTTACTCATTCTCCGTTGATGCAGTGAGACTATGGAACTCGCTCCCACCGAACATTCGAGACGCTAAGTCAATCTCTATCTTTAAGAAACAAGTGAGAGAACATTATCTTTCCTCCTGAAATTCAGATTTGTTTGTTTGTATGTATATACACAATATATATGTATATATAAGTAAATATGTATATGTAAGTAAGTATAGATATATATCTATACTTATTTATTGGTTATTTGTTATAATTGTATTGTATTAATTTGTTTTATTGATCAATATTGTTATTTCTTTTGGTTTCTTTGGTATTTTTTTATAATTGATTTTATCATATTTGTGTATACACTATGTTTCTGGGTGTCGTCTAATAGTCAAAAGGTATAAAAAATATATATATGTATGTATAACTTTTAGTACAAAGGAAATGCTCGAACGAAGTATAGATAAATAATCCAAAAATTCGAATTTGACAGATTATTGTTCGGATTCTAAATGTCATTTCGACGAAACCAAAATAGTTGTCGTTTAATTTTCGTTTGCCACATAATAACTCTTGTTGTGTATTTAAACATTATTTTTTGATAATTCTAGTTATCAATTTTAATTATTACTACATAAAATTAAAAGTGTTGAAGCTCTCTTGTTAATTATTATTTTAAAATGGCAATGTTTGACGTCGTCAGCGTCACTCTTTGGCGGCAATTTAAACCAACTACGCGCGCTCAGAGTAATAAGTACTTCTTCGAGGCGTTATCATAATAATAGTCGTATTATGGCTGCGAGACATTTTCTTGTGGAAGCTGCAATGCGGGAAGAACGCACAGAGCGGCAAAGAAACCGTCGTCGTCTCCGGCTCCAACTGGATGTCGAACATTTTCCCGACTTAGAATTTGTAAGAAATTACAGACTAAGTCGGGAATTGTTCGAACAATTGTGCCAGGACATAATTCCTATACTCTCTCCGAAGATGAGAAAACATGGGATCGAACCCACTCACAAAGTAAGTACCTACCTATAGCCTATTTAGAAATTGTTGACTTTGATTAAATACGTACTAAATACCTACTATAGTTAATATAGCTAATTTTATCACAAACGTAGCCGTTTGAAATTCGCGCGTGTGCGTCAGTGGGCGTCTCTTATCAGTGGCTAGTCACGTGGCCTCGCAAGTCTGCGTTTTGCGTGTTCCCTCCACCATGTAATGCATCTCGCAAGCCCGCGAATGAAGTAGGTATCAAAAACTTAGTTTCGAGTCATGAAACGTAGAATCATAAGTAAAGATAGGTACCCTATAAAAACTTTGACCAAACTCAGTGTGCATAATCATAATGTTACATTTAAAGGTTTTATCTATGTTCTCTAGAATTATAAATTGAACACGGTCAGAAAAATAATACGTAATAGTTAGCTCTCCAGATTTAAAAAGGACAATGCCTATTTGTCTCCTGCTAATGTATAGAAATGAAAATCCCAAAGTTTTATTTGTAATTGAAATTATGTTTTGACCGCGTTTCTACCAACAGCTATATTCCTATTTACGCATAATTAGTCGATGATAGATTTGATTCAACGTTGCATTAGATTCATTTATTGTGCTTCATATTTCATCATACTTTTTTAATCTAAAAAATAAACACAACTAAATAAAAATTAACCAAGTAGTTAATATGTTCGGCACAAGTGAAATGGATTTTATCTATTTATTGACAGTTCTGACATTGCGTTTTGCCTTCCGCAATTCTGTTGTTGTTTTACGCTGATGTGAACTACTGTGCGAGTTTTGTAGATTTCTTCTTATATTTAGTTTACCACCTCGATATCTTTTTCATTCAACGACATTGCAAATCGTCGGCTCAACAAATCCGCTGTTATCTATCAGCAACAAGTTGAACAATATTATAATATTATTGAAACATCAAATTTTATTACATTGATCAAAATTAACTGGAGTAAGTATTAAGTACTATAATTTTAATTTCTTAATTTTTTATGTTCTACACAATTAAGAAAAAATCCGCTCAAACGTACTCGCTTCCCATGGCGCGGGCTTGTAAGTTATATGGTGAAATAGTTCAAGAGATCACGCAGCTAACAGTTGATAGGGGCTGTTGTCTTATTGTGTTGTGATAAAAATGGGAAAGATTTTTGTTAAATTATCTGTCATTTAACTCGTCGAGTACCGTCATTATAGACACAATTATAGAACAATAGGTTGCGGTCACCGGTGACCGCTTGGAGTTTGACAGTTTAATACCAGTTACCTTATAATCCTGTCCTACGTTTTTGTTATTATTACAAAAATGGACAGCAGGTTGGATTATAAATTATTATTTCATTTATTATAACTATAACATTGTATTATTGTAGATTCTATGAGAAGTATGGGATTCCTGGAGTTATTGGGTGCATTGATTGCATGCACGTTGCCATAGTGAGACCCGTTGAGCACGAAGAACAATTCTTCAATCGAAAGCATTTTCATTCAATCAACACACAAGTTGTAAGTGTTAATAAAATTTCTATTAATTTTACTTCTAAATGGCTAAATTTACAAGTACTTTTAAGATCATGAATAGTCTTACATTGATTTCATAATTTTTTAGATATGTGATAGTGATTTATTGATCACCAATGTGGATGCGGGCTATGGTGGAGCAACACATGATGCCTACATTTGGAGGGAATCTGAAATTCGCTCCCACCTGGAGAGTCTTCAAAGCGAGACATCTTATCTACTGGGTATGTTAATTTGTCATTAGGTACTATGTATGTAATAATGTGTACCATATTCATACAATTTCCATTAACATGTTATTATTTTCAGGTGATTCTGGTTATGCGGGAATATATGATGACCCCAGTGGATAATGCCATCGAGGACTCTCCAGAGGGAAGGTATAATTCCCTCCAAAAACGTGCACGCTCCACCATAGGACATACATTTGGTGTCCTCAAAGGTCGATGGTGATGTCTTTTATCAGCTTGGGAACTTCATTACTGCCCAGCCACTGCAGGTCAAATTATATTGGCTTGTTGTGTTTCACACAATATTTGTGTTCGGGCTGGTATTGAAGCTCCCGAGTTGTTACAAGATGACATCGACTCTGAGAGGACTCGACAGGTGGTATCCCAGACAGCACCGACATCGACCAGCCTTAATCCAAACATTGGAAAGACACTGGTGAGTTGCACTTATATCACACAAGAGTGTAAGAAAGAAAATCAATCAATTTGTCTAATCGAATTATTGTTTTGTTTTAGATAAAGCATGAAGACAGCAACTCTTTTTTTTATTTTTACAATTTTATTATATGGAATATACCTTCTATCTTTTTTTATTTAACCCTGAATCATTTTTCATCTATACAAATAAATAAAATTGGAGTGTCTGTTTGTAATATTAAAATAACTGCTTCCTACTACATGCATATGAAGTATATACGGTACACATACTAAAATATATTTTTTTACAATTTTTGTCTGTCTGTCTGTCTGTTTGTTCCGGCTAATCTCTGGAACGCCTGGACCGATTTGGACGGGACTTCCACTGGCAGATAGCTTATGTAATAAGCAGTAACTTAGGCTACTTTTATTTTAGAAAAAAACAACAAACAAAAAGACTAAATTAAAGTATTTATTACAAATAACTTGTTAAATGTTACAAGCTTTAAATGTTAAAGCATTTAAATAGAATAAAATCTTATAAAAACAGAAATAAAAGTGGTCCAATAGAAACACATTTCACTGATATATTTATATATTATATAATCCAATATTCAACATTATATGCGTAAGTACAATAACAGCATACAAATACTGACAGTACAAAATTAAAACGCACATTAATTTGAGACACAAATAATTTTAAAGTTAAACAATTGTTTCTTACATGTGCATTTACATTGTTTTTGTATGAATAAGTTTATAGCTAAAAATCCTCCAAATAACGATATGCTTCTGCTATAAGATATCTAGATTACTTCAGAATTCCCACTATCTAGATTATTGGAGTATGGTGGAGGTGGAGTATTAACTTGTTCCCGGCCCACCTCCAGTCATTGTAGCCGACCACCGGGAGTCAGCAACAGCTTTTTCGGTTAAACCAAACCTATGCAGAATAAAAATATGTTAGGTCACATTTTTTGTTGTTTTCAATAAATAATAGTCGTAAATAAAATACCTACTTTTTGCCCCTGCATGTCTGTATTTGTGCAATCGCCCATAGCATTTAGGAGGTTGCACACTTCGTCTTGCTTGCTTGCCTTCTACACTTCGCAGATGTTTGCGGGCAGGGTCGCGATGTTCAGAAAGTTGAGGAGTGTATCTACTTGTTCTGGAGTTGCTGAACTCGTCCATGGAGCCATTTTATACTGAAATTATTTTAAGATGAAAATAAGTTATAGAAAGTTATGACTAAAATAAATGCAAATAGCAAGAATTTTAAGTACGAAAAGCTACAAAAAACGGTACTTACACTTTTTACCAAAAATAATTTCTATAATAATTATTTAAACTTGATGGTGACTGAAGTAAATCACAATGCCAAATCCTGACCCAGTCATACTATCATTTACAAAAAAAGTAAATTGATGAAAATAATTTTGACGAATAAGGAACCTTTTCACAATAAATCTTTTTATTTTTAAACTTGCGGTTTACAATCTAATAAAAAAAGAAGTAAAATCCCGGAAATACTTTTTTTTAATGCGTCTTCCATATTGTCTAATGACTATTTGCGTTACATCATACGCATCGCTTGTACGAAACTATGAAAATAAAAAAGTAAGTAGGTAACTGTAAAAAGATATCATTATACATAAAATATTATATCAACATTTATTTATTTATTAATAACTAGCGACCCGCCCCGGCTTCGCACGGGTGCAATATGCATGATATGAACCTTCCTTAAGAATCACTCTATCTATTAAAAAAAACCGCATCAAAATCCGTTGCGTAGTTTTAAAGATCTAAGCATACATACGGACATACAGCGAAAGCGACTTTGTTTTATACTATGTATTGATTACAAATAAAATCACGAAAATATAAAAGAAACGATTACTATCATTAGTTATGATTGTTTTGTGTAACGAAACGTTTTGAAGCGCTTGTCACTTGTCAGCTGTCAGTGTCAATATTATCTTTCATTTGTTCTCTGCGTTTCCGTTGTTTTCGCGTTATTTATCATTATTGTTTTGTGTTTTAAACAAAAACCACAAGTTTTACAGGTTTCAGGACAAATGTTTAGGTATCGGTAATTAAGACACTACACGATGCTGAATACTGCATACTTGTACATGACTTCTAATATAGTGGGTCAAAGATGTACTGAGCACCTGGCATTGTCGTTTAAGTAAAATAAAAACTCTCAAACTCAAATGTATATATAACGCGCGAAGCGAAATTTTAAGGAAACGTCATTGTCATAGTCATTGTAATTTTATGATTGTTTTGAGTCTATGGTTTTCATCACGAACTTTATTTGATAGCTTACTTGTATTTATTTGACTTAATATGTCTATTAACCATGTATTTTAGAAGAATGTAATAATATTCTTTGAAATATATTATTATTTCAATTTAAGTTGTATATATTTTCATTTAGTTATAGTTAATATTAATTGTATATATTATATATATATATTTATTTTATATATATATGTATATATTTATTTTAATTTATAATAAAAACCGATTATTTACCGCAAAAGTCTATAAACGAACTACGATGACTTCGTTCATTCCATTCGTTCACGAATATTGTCTAAAAAGATCCGAATTTGTCGTTTGCGGATGAAAATGAAACCACAGAACATATGTATATATACGCTTTTTTTTAAGGGGGGAAAATCATCGAATGTCTGCTCCCGCCTGGGTGAGGCGGGAGGGAGTGTCAGACTCTTACTGACTAAAAACCACCCCGTTTCTTCTCCTGCACGTCGAGCCGGAGCCCCGGTTACCCGTTAGGTTCTCCGCGACTTCGAATCGGCAACATAAATACCCTAAGGGAAGAATAACGACTCCATACAAATTTCGCGAGGAAATTTTACCTTACCGACGAATGCCATCTATGCCTAGCCCTTCAATACTAAGTAAAAGAAACCAGGGCGGGAATTTCAAAACACGCGGTATATTCTTTGTATCGACTTATTCTTTGTATAGCATTTTATACACTAGTACAGTGCATTTCTCGATAATTACCTTTAACATCTTGATCAGTATACATATAACCAATATCGAGAATTATGGAGGAGATAAATGAAACAAACAGAAGTATTTCACTCTGTTTATTTGGCTTAATATTAATTAATCGGGATACAGCTATATTATTTTATTTATTAGGCTCATCAACAATTATTTATACTTGAATACAAAATAAAGTACTTGCATAATTACAGATTGAGTACAACAATATTTTACAAATTTAATTAGAAAGTGAAGAATAATATTAAAAAGAAATTATATAATGAACAATGATTCATTTTTAGGAATTATTGTTACTATGATAAACAACATGATAACAACAAAGAGCTGTAACAACAGTCACGCTGATATTAATTGAGGCAAATAATAAGATAAATAAAATAAAATCTCTCATCACGACAATTAAACACAAATTCAAAGAGTCACTGTCTCAACCAACACCGAATCTATATCTCACAGCACACACCTAATTTCACTAAAACACGGTTACGGAGGAGTAATCTCGACTCAACGTTAACGATGTATGTAGAATTAAGTGGAAAAAGTTTATTAATTACAAATAAACTTAAAAAAAATCAGATAACGGTGTTTTTTTTTAATGGCAACCGTATCTCCAATACCATTAGTGTTTTTTATAGCATATTCTAATTAAAATTTTGTAATTCATACCAAAACGCCCGGTATGAAATAATCGTCACATAACTACGATAAAAATAAATTACAGAGCCAATTGTTTTGGTGTATGTAAAACTAATACGTAGTACCTAATATTTTAATCACTTGTTAAATGGCAACATTATGGAATTCATCTCTTTCACTCTAATGTTGCTGTCTCTTACTAATTTCAATACCCCCCTACATTACATTCGCAGAAGTAAGTCGACAGACCCAATGAAACAGAGTGGGGTCACAAACGAACCTTCCTTTAAATTGCGTTCGATAACGAAACTACGGATTTGAGAACCGGCCTCCTGTTTCGTTAGTCCTAAAATGGTTCTGTTATATTTGTCAATTAAATTAAAGTAAAAGGTTTATTTTTTTACGTTATACTGGTTGGTGTTTAATGTAAGTTGGTTTAATTTTAATTTTGATCTCGATTATTAGTAGTTAGTTTGTTTAATGAAATTGTAATTCTTAGTTCGTGTTAAATAATTTAGTTTTAAGGTCGTTTCGTGTCGTTCGTCGTCTTTTAAAGTGTTACCTAGTTTTCAACCTAAGTTTGGAAAGATTTTAATATTTTTTATTTACGCGAATATACGCTGTGCTATCGAGACGTCCGTGTTTTATTCCGCTCCTAGTTGACAAGTTGGTGTGAACGTTTCGCATGTGAAAAAAAAAGTTCGTTTTAAACTATTTTTTTCAATTACCTACCTACTAGAAAACGCAAGTCCAATTTAGCACGTAGTTCAAGCGGAGTTCTAGCTAAAAGAGTTGCAAGAAGTCAAGAGTGCGAAAAACAGACTCAAGCCCGTTTTACTTTGACGCTGAGCGTCGCGCTACTCAAAGAGCTGTTGAAACCGTAGAAATGGTTCGGGAGCGTCGGCTCATAGACACTGAACGTCACGCTGCTCACAGAGCTGCTGAGTCTGAGGAGGTGAAGCAGAAGCGACGACTCTTAGACCCCAGGCGAAACTAGATCAAACTCGAGTACGTCGGCTTTTGAATGCTGAGCGTCATGCGTCTCTGATTGCTGCAGAGTCACATGAAGAATTTCAAAGATGACGTGTTCTAATAGCTGCACGGCAAGCACGCAGATAGACGAAATATATTAACACGTAATACGTGGGAGGTATTTCATGTAACTCTGTCTGCTTGTCTTTCCGTCACCCCTAAACTACTGAACCGATTTGGATGAAATTTGTTGCAGAGATAGTTTGAAACTCGAGAAAGGACATAAGATAAGTTTTTTCTCAAAGTCCCGCGGGAGCGGGAACTTCTCTGAAATCCCGCGAGAAGTGGAACTATGTGGGTAAAACCAAAAATCTACCGGAAATCACTATTCCACGCGAATGAAGTCGCAGGTAAAAGCTAATATAAGTATAATATACTAGCAGCCCGTCCCGGCTTCGGACGGGGTAGACAATTATTTATTTTTGGAAATTTGGATTGTTGTAGTGACATAACTACAATAGTTGGACATATGCTACCGCGGAGTTTTTTGTAGACATTATGATGTTCTTCAATATTGTTGTACATTATTTTGTTCTATCGCTAATAGTTTCGGCAGCAGAATGTAGCATTCTATTGGTGAAAGAATTTTTTAAATCGGCTCAGTACTTTTTGAGCCTACTCATTACAAACATACAAAAATAGGTACAAATCTTTCCTCTTTATAATATTAGTATAGATTTAGTATATTTAAATCGATACGATCACAGACCGAATATGTATTATGGTACAACTCCCGTCTGTGGTAGCGAGAATGTATAGCTCGATATATTAATTTATATTACTTATTTAATTATTTACAAGAAGGTATTACATGCTACTAGTAGAGTACATGACCCTGTTAGGGCGCAGCAATTTAACATATTCATAACTTAATTATCTAGTCTATTAGGTACATATTTGTGATGTATGTTTGATATTTAGACTAAGTGGGTGGTAGTAAGTTAATTGTTAGTTATATTAAGGCGGTCACCACCGACGCAACAGTCTGCGAATATACGCTGTGCTATCGAGACGCCCGTGTTTTATTCCGCTCCTAGTTGACAAGAGACCTGCATACACAGATTCTTCAGTGGCGACGAGGTGTGAACATTTCGCGTGTGAAAAAAAAAGTGTACAATGACGATCGGAAAAATAAGCGAGTTTAACGTGCACAAAGACGATTGGAACCTATATATCGAACGGTTAGACCGATACTTCATCGTGAATGACATAAAAACCGATTTACATGTACCGACATTAATAACCGTTATGGAAGCAGAGAGCTATGAGTTGCTCGTCAATCTGTGTACACCAAATAAGCCGAAGGCGAAGACGTTTGAGCAGTTATCAGAAATAATGGGCAAACATTTACAACCTAAACCGAGCGAACTCGCAGAAAGATATAAGTTCAGACATAGAAGAGGGTGAAACCATATCCGAGTATGTGGCGGTACTTAAGAAAATGTCGATGACCTGCGATTTCGGAAGTTGGCTTGAAGAAAGTTTGAGAGATCAATTGGTGTGCGGAATAGCAAGTGAAAATATTAGGCAACGGTTATTCGCAGAGTCGAAATTGGATTTTGCCAAGGCGTATAAACTTGCCTCCAGCATGGAATCAGCCGAGAAGGACGCCGCTATGGTAGAAGGGCCTAAATCGTCAGCAGGAACTGACACAGCGACGGCGGTGACGTGTCAAGCGATGACGACGAGACCGCGTGAAACGGGCATGGCGAAGCGCGGCGGGGAGGCAGGCGTGGGCCGGCGCGAGGTGCGCGGACGACGAGGCTCCCGGGAGCAGCGCGCAGCCCACGAGGCGGTGACATCGGTGCTAAGCGAGCAGGCTCGGCTGGGGGAGCAAGCGCGGCCGCGCAAGTTTGCAAGTTATGTGTGTCGGGTTTGCAATCGGCAAGGGCACAGGGCGGCGGGTGTGTCACGTATAGTGAGACAATATCAGGTAGACGTGGAAACCACTAGCAGGGACGAGGAGGACGGTGACGAGGTAATTTATGTTGATGTTTGTCGGTTGTCGATACCAAGTTGTAAACCTATTTCTATAACACTTAACGTTCATAATAAAGACATTGGGCTATGGAATGTGACACAGGTAGTGCAGTGTCCTGTATTAGTATCAGAGTGTTACGATAAACTATTTAGCGATCTTACCCTACAACCAGTGATGGGCGTAACTAGTTATTTATGTAATCTAATTAATACTGCCTGACTGACTGCC